ATTTACTGCAGGGGAATATGAGATTCTCCTCCCGAAGTTACAATAAATACAAGGAAAAGATAGCGTTGTTTTTATGTTTTTAGCTAATGGCATCTTTAATGTTTTATTTGGGCAGAAATGAGGTTTCACACTTTTTAATCTATAGTCCTTTTCTTATGATTGGTTGAGATTTTTTCTTTTTAAAGCAGCAATGGAGGCAAATGTTCCTAAACATCCCAAAGCAGGATGAAAAAAAAAATTATTGGATTTCATCATGGTGGGGTTGAGCTTCGCCATCTGCAGCATTTTCAGGCTCTGTGGCTGCATAATCTCTCTTGTACAAGAAGAAATGAAAAGTTTAGGATTAATTTAAGGAATGCATACTGCCTGCCAACAGTCATGCCAGGGTCCATTATGACAATAAGGGAAACAGTTTAATCAAAGCTTGTAAAATTTTGCTCAAAGACAAACAGGGTTGACGTCAGCAGCTAATGCCAACACTTTAAACAAAGATTCTGTGTTAGGGATGATGCTCTACTACTACCACACCTAATATTTGCTCCCTATGTGTAAAATTGACACATTTTTGTAATTTTTAATGCCACTTGGTTGTTGCGTGCATTTTCAATGGGACTAACTCCAAAATTTAATCAGTTAAAGATGTTTGTTAAATTATCACTTCCTTAAAATTTCATTAAAATCCATCAAGTGGTTCATGAGAGATTTTGCTAACAGACCAGGTTTCCTACACTAGTCGACAAATTTGAAAAGCAGATATGACAAATAAGAACATATACAACATAAATGATGTTTTGTTTTGTCTCAAAAGTGTATATTTTAAATAACATTCATCTTGCATTTCTTCCACAGTCAGGTTTAAATCTGGGTCTATATTTAGGAAGGATGAAGCCTTGCCAGAGTTTACAAGGATGACGTCTTAAAATGATTTACAGCTCTTTTAGCWCTGATGTAAAAATCCATGAATCGTCAAGGTTTGATTTGACAAAGTGTCAAAACTGGGTTTAAAGAGTTCACCTCAGCACCTGTAGGTGGCGGTATTGAGCTCTGCAGGTCTGCCCGTCCTCTTCTGTCTCCAGAAACTGAGCCACAAGGTTAACATCTGTTGAACTTGGAGAGAAACAGTGAAGTGGAGAAAAAAGGATTATAGGTGAAGGAAAGAAGACATASTAAGGATGTTTTTAAGGGAGTCTAAGTCAGAAAAACATAAGAGTTTAAGCAACTAATAGAAACATAAACATAAAAAATTGTGAAATATAAAAAAACGTGTATATAGAGATACATACATACACTCACCGGCCACTTTATTAGGTACACCACGCTAGTAACGGGTTGGACCCCCTTTTGCCTTCAGAAC